GGTTGAATCCTTCTACCAATGCCAGCACTTACCTGGGCTTCGGCCTCAGGAAATGTGTCAAAAACCCATAATTATCTAAACCCAGTGCCATTTTGGTTCACAGAACCATAGCTCCCCCACTGGCTTTGCCTCACTCCAGAAACGACTATGAGTGGCAGACTCTTCCACTGGGAGAGGGGGGTTGTGAAGGCCCCTGTGATCCCCTCTCTCCCAACCCGCCACCTCTTCTGGGATGAGGATGATAAATGTGCCTGGATTGGGACTTCCGGACTCCACAGTCCCGTTGGTCTGTGGGTTGAGACCTCGATGGTAGGGCATGCTTGGCAGAGGCCCAGCTGCCCCAGGGAAGGGGTCAGCATCGCTCACCATGTACATTTTCTCGGTGATGAGGGACTTGTCTCGGAGGCTCTCGAAGAACGGAAACGGCTTGTGTATGGCATAGGCGATCTCCAGCTTCAGGCCTATGAAGTGTTGAAGAAGGGCCTCTTTCAAGGCCTTGGTCACGGGGAACATCCTGCGGAAAGAGACGCGAAGTGAAAAGAGGAGCGAAGACTGAGGCTTGTAGGGCACTCTTGTCTGCGTTCAACGGGCTTCCAACCAAAGGCATGCTGGTTCCAAAGGGCATCCCTTAGCAATTCTGAAAATAGCAACTGCCTAGAAGGCATCAACTAAGTCCATATGGAAGAAGCACACCAGCCGGTGTGATCCAAGGATTATAAATAATACAATCCAAATCGGAAGAAGGGAATGGTATCAGAGCTTAAGTTGTGAACCCCTGGTTTATAGAGGACTATGGATGAAAGCAGAAGTCAAAACCTATTTGCATAGGTCCCCACATAGCTGAAACCTCGGGTGAAGGCCCTCTGACCATAGTCCAAGGTTGTGAATAGTGTTGTCATTGGGCAGAGAGCATTGTAAAGTTAATTATGGTGGATAGAGTTAGGTTAAAATAGATTAGTTCGGTAGGGAAGAGGGAACCGATTACATGGAACTGTGTGTGACCTCCTCCCTGGGGGACAGACAACCAAAAAGTGGATGAAGGGAGACGTCGGACAGGGCAAGATATGACAAAATACCCATTTATAAACTATCAAGGGCTCATGCGGGAGGGGGGAGCGGGGAGGGAGGGGAAAAATGAGGACCTGATGTCGGGGGTTTAAATGGAGAGAAAATGTTTTGAGAAACGATGTACAAATGCGCTTTACACAATTGATGTGTGTATGGATTGGGATAACAGTTGAATGAGCCCCTAATAAAATGTTTAAAAAAAATGTTTTGAGACTGATGATGGCAACAAATGTACAAATATGCTTCACACAATGGATGGAAGGATGGATTGTGATAAGAGTTGTATGATTAAAAAAAGAAAAAATAAATAAAATAGATTAATTCATTTGATCTTCCTTTTGACCCATTTAAAAGTTGCTTTAGGGTTGTTTGTTTGTTTTTAATTGAAGGAGAAATACACAAGTATTGTGTAGACCAAGGATGAGGCTACCCTGGCTATTATGCAGAAAGCATCGAAAGTGGATTGTGGCAGATGTAATTAGGTTAAGATTTAACACCTGATCACAAGATCTTCCTTCTGATACATTTTAAAGTTGCTCCAGGTTTCAATATTTTTGACTCTCTTTTCGACTGAGGTTTTTCTGTTTCACTTTGTTATTGTTGGTAGGGTTTTTGTATGTTTTTCTGTATATAAAACCCAGGATAGGTAACTATTGAAACACTGAACTGTTGAATTGCATAATATGTGAATTATATGCTAATAAAACTGTGGGGAACAAATCTACAGAGACGGTAACTGGGTTACTGGTTTCTTGGAGGTCTGGCAGGGGAGGTTGGGGGGACGTGAGGAGCTAACACCATGCATCCAAGAAAGAAGGAAACGTTCTAACACTGATTGGGGAAGTGATTGTACAACTCTTCTTGATATAATTGAATGATGGCATGTAGATTATGTGCCAAGAAAGCCATTTTAGAAAATAGAGATATAATCTAATTTTAAAACTGGCATCTGCCTCAAAGACTGTGGACGCAGAGAACCAGGACGACCCTGAGAAACCTCGGTGCTTGCAATGACCTGCAAGAGGATCCCATTTTCCAAAGACTGCGAGTCAACAGCAGGCAGATCCCACACTCCGCTGCCGATCTCACCCTCTCCTTGGAGCCACCTTGGCCGCTGTGGTGGAGGGTTGTCCTTGAAGTGGCTCCAACTCTCGGCAGCGCCACCAAAGACCCTGCGAAGCGGAGCCTGGCTTGCACCGTCTGCACAACCATGGGCCTCTTTGAGTCGTCAGGTGACAGCCATTAATGAATCACCAGGTTGTGGGACGGAGTGACATTTCTTTTCTTTTTAAATCATTTTATTGGGGGCTCGGACAACTCTTGTCACAACCCATCCATCCATTGTGTCAAGCACATTTGTATGTTAGTTGCCATCATCATTCTCAAAACCTCCTCCCTCCACTTGAGCCCCTGGAATCAGCTCCTCATTTCCCCCTCTCTCCTCCACCCCCCATCCCTCACGAATCTTTGATAATTTACAATTATTATTTTTTTCTGTCTTACACTGTCCGATGTCTCCCTTCACCCACTTTTCTGTTGTCCATCCCCCAGGGAGTGGGTTATATGTAGATCATTGTGATCAGTTTACCCTTTCTCCCCCACCTTCCTCTTCCCCTCCTGGTATTGCTACCTTCATTATTAGTCCTGAGGGGTTTATCTGTCCTGGATTCCCTGTGTTTCCAGTTCCTATCTGTACCAGTGTACATCCTCTGGTCTAGCTGGATGTGTAAGGTAGAATTAGGATCTAGATAGTGGGGTGGGGGTGGGCAGAGAAGCATTAAAGAACTAGAGGAAAGTTGTGTGTTTCATTGGTGCTATACTGCACCCTGACTGGCTCATCTCCTCCCTGAGTCCCTTCTGTAAGGGGATGGGAGTGACATTTCTTAAAATCACTTTTGGACACCCCCCCTCCCACTCCCCAGCCCACGCTGTAAGGATAAGCCATCCCTAAAACAGGAGCAGAGGAGAAGCATGTTCCAACAGTGGCCAAGTTTGAAGTGGCAGAGCCTGAGTTCGGAAACACCAAAGCCTGTGGCACAGAGACTGTGAGGCAGAGCAAGGGAAGC